GGCGGGGCGGCTGGTGACCCGGGGACCCCTCGCCCGGTGCGGAGATGTGCCCACCTCTGGGGCGGGGCGGCTGGTGACCCGCGGACCCCTCGCCCGGTGCGGAGATGCGCCCACCTCTGGGGCGGGGCGGCTGGTGACCCGCGGACCCCTCGCCCGGTGCGGAGATGCGCCCACCTCTGGGGCGGGGTGGCTGACTATATCACTCACCGAGCCCCGTGATGCGCAGCAGGTGCTGGGTTCCCTGTCGGACCGAAGGTGAGAGGGTCAGATCCACGAACGCCTTGACGTTGAGTTTATCCACCAGGCTGAGCCAGAAGTTGTAGTGAGCTTGGATGGGGTCGGAGGGCATCGTGTCTGGGGGGGCAGAAACAGAAGGTAGCCAGGACTCCTATGTTCTCTCCCCGGCTCAGGGAGAGGAGTGGTGACTGGTGATTACAGCAGGGGGGCTGAGAGCCAGGACTCCTGGGTTCTCTGCCCGGCTCTGGGAGGGGAGGGGGGCTGGTGGGTTAGAGCAGGGGGGGCTGGGAGCCAGGACTCCTGGGTTCCTTTGGGGGGTGGCGAGCGCCCGGACGCCTGGGTCCCTCACCCAGCTCGCCGATCTCCACGTGGCCCAGCACGAAGAGGCCCCCCTTCTTGAGGTCATTGACGAAGTGGATGAGCTGGGCCCCGCTCCGGGGGTTCGCCACCATCAGCAGCATCTGGGGGCGCCAGAACTTCACGTGCTCCTTGCGCACGTCCAGGAGCAGCAGGTACTTCCGCACCTGGGGGGGGGGGAAGATGGGGACACCCCAGATGCTGGGTGCAGGCCCCCCCCCGAAAGTCCCACCCCATCGCTCCCCATGGCACCAAGCCGGGCTCCACCCCACAGTGGCCCCCATCCCGTCCCCAGCTCTCAGGGGCCACCCCACAGCCCCCCTCCCATCAATCCCCCCACAGCTGAAGGGGGCTCAGCTGACAGATCCCCCCCAGTACTAGGTGTGTCAGAGAGGGCGGGGTCAGAAATAGAAGGTAGGATGGACAGAAGGGAGCCCGGATTCCTGGGTTCTGTCCCCGGCTCTGGGAGGGGAGTGAGGGCTGGTGGTTAGAGCAGGGGGGGCTGGGAGCCAGGACTCCTGGGTTCTCTCCCCGGCTCTGGGAGGGGAGCGGGGGCTCGGAGCCCGGACTCCTGGGTTCTCTCCCCGGCTCTGGGAGGGGAGTGGGGGCTGGTGGGTTAGAGCAGGGGGGACTGGGAGCCAAGACTCCTGGGTTCTCTCCCTGGCTCTGGGAGGGGAGCAGGGGCTGGGAGCCAGGACTCCTGAGTTCTCTCCCTGGTACCTGGTGGAAGATGAGGGCCTGGCTGATGTAGCCCCAGGAGCTGGCGGGCGCCCGCAGGTGGATGAAGCCGAGCAGTGCCAGCATCAGCACCAGGCTGCCCGAGGCGCCCGCGGGGCTGATGAGGAACATCATGAGCAGGCAGCTGGCGATGCCCAGCAGGCAGGTGTGCCAGCTGAACAGCTGGAAGGTGGGGCTGGGGGGTGGGGAGAGGAGATGGGGGTTACAGACAGGACCCCCCTGCCCCACAGACACCCCAGGGGCCCCCCTCCACCAGGAACCCCCCAAATCCCAGCTCCCCTGGGCCCCCTCCACCAGGGACCCCCAAATCCCAGCTCCCCTGCCCCCCCACTCCACAGGTGCCCCTGGGGCCCCCCTCCACCAGGAACCCCCCCAAATCCCAGCTCCCCTGCCCCCCCACTCCACAGATGCCCCTGGGGCCCCCCTCTACCAGGGACCCCCAAATCCCAGCTCCCCTGCCCCCCAGAGGATCATGGATCCTGCCCCCATGCCCATCCCCCTCTTCCTCACCCCCCCCCTGCCAGTTCCCCGTGAACCCCCCCTCCGCTTTCCTCAGCCCTGGACACTGCCCCCACCCCAAAATCCACCCCCTTTCACCCAAGCCGCCCCCCCCGACCCCAGTCATGCCCCTCCCCACGCCCACCCCTCACCGGAAGTTAGGGGCCGAGGCCCACTCCAGCGCCAGGCAGGCCAGGTCCACGGCCGCGTAGGCCACCAGGTAAAACACCGTGACGATCCCGGCGATGGTGTTCAGCTTCCCCGCGAACAGCACCAGCTGGGGGGGACCGAGAAGCGGGGGTCAGGACTCCTGGGTTCTCTCCCAGGCGCTGGGAGGGGAGTGGGGGCTGGGGGGGTCGGAGCAGGGGGGGGCTGGGAGCCAGGACTCCTGGGTTCTCTCCCCAGCTCTGGGAGAGGAGTAGGGGCTGGAGGGTTGGAGCAGGGGGGGCCAGGAGCCAGGACTCCTGGGTTCTCCCCGGCTCTGGGAGGGGGATCAGGTGGTGGTGGTGGGGGGG